TTATATTTCCGAAAGGAAAAGTGTATATATTTGTGTATTAAAAAATTAGACCGACAAATTTTAAGGGAAAAAAGAAGACTTCAAAATATGTTTTGTTAATACTAATTTTCTCTATAATATTTAGTTTTAATACTGCACGATGACTTTTTAGTTTGTCAAATTTGTATTGAAATTAATGAAATTTTTTTGAGCATTTACTATAAAAAGAGTGAATTACTTTTGTGTATTTGTTCTGTGTTTTGTTCAATATTAATTATATGTTTGTTTAAATTACAAACTACTATTTCATATCATTGAAAACGTCGTAGAGAAAAATAGTAATGATGAAAAATATTCATTTTGAAGTCTTCTATTTGCCTTCAAAATTTGTCGGTCTAATTTTTAAACACTCTGTATATTTATTGTATACAATAAGTGTGTATAATTTGATTGTAATATATTATGTGAGATAATACACAGGGATTTCATTAAAATAATGAAGAAGATTAAAGAAAAATATACAATACAATCATAATATAATTTAATTGTTAATAGGGTTCAGATCTACAAAAGATCGATATATACACATATGTTTGCGTGTTCTGGGAAAATATTTTTGTAGAAGATTCAAGATAATTTATTAAGCATTTATTTTGAAGCATTTATCTTGTAAAGTTAGATTAAAATATTCCCAAAACACGCGATTACAGCTCTTTAATAACAGTCGCGATGAGACATTCTTCATGATATATACCATGCTTCACCGAGCAATTTACATAATTACGGCCTAAGCTCAAATTAAAATCAAAAGCGTAACTTTTTATAATCAAAAGTGATAATACATCGCTAACTCGATATGCGCCGGTTGCTCTTGCGTGGTTCTAACCAGTACATTATCGAGTGTATAGGTATCTACAATCTACAATGACATCTTCAAAAATACTCATGTATATATACATATATATATATATATATATATATATATATATATATATACGCTATAAGATTTGGCCACGAGTTTTCGCGCGATTAATTTGCGCGTTAGTGGTTGTGCTGCTGGAGAGAAGAGATCGATCAATAATCGCTGCTTCTAAGTTCTGAAGATAGAGCGAGCGCGATGGCGTCCATATGTAAATGCCTTTTTGCCGATTATAAATATTTTAATATATTTTATATGTACATAGAAATTTGTGCGGGGAGAACCTCTGGCAATTTATATATATATGGAAATATCATCCCTCTTCGCGATATTATTTCATTAAAAATATCAATCGTAAATAATCTCTCTCTGCATGCATTTTGCGGTGCATCAGGAATCGGAAAATGCAACGCCGGTAACCCACATATTATACAGTCAACTAATACATACATAATTGCATATAAATATTTCACCACAATATTTTATATTGCATTTCTTCTTTGCTATATATCAATTATTCCGCGAAATTATTATTTTTTTAATTATCAAAAGTGCACACTCGAGAAAGTCACGATATTTCTGCCTGCTTTAAATATTTAAATATACTTTCCACTACTGTATCAATTTAAATTATATTTGTTTGTTGTATATATTTCACACTCTTTTTCACATTTATTTTTATAACATTGAAAACAATTTTTGTCTTATTACACGGAGAGAATTTTCTCTTAGAATTTACCCTGAAAATTATGATAATCGTGAGATAACATGGTATTGAAAGAATTTTAGGAGTTTCTCTGATTAATATTTACCACAATAAAAAATATTAATATGCACATAGTAAATTTTACTATCTATATATATATATATGTACATAGTAAAATTAATCGGGCATATTTTATATCTTATTGGTAGATATTAATATTTTATTATTGTGGTAAATATTAATCAGAGAAACTCTTATAAAATTCTCCACAATTACCATGATTTTCAAGGCAAGTTCTAAGAGAAAATTCTCTCTATGTACTATACTACTATACTACTATTTACAATACAATCGTATCTTATCTAGCGTCCAAAGAATGAAATTACAGCATCAATCAATATTAAATTAACAAACATCCTCCTCACAAGATTTTTAGCACTTTTTTTCAGCCTTCAATTTATTAATAATAAATAAATTTGTTCGTAAGAATCGTTTTTACTTTTCATTTTGCATCGTTTGATGTATCAAGACGAGATTTGATCCCAGCAAACACCGATATATAATTGTTACATTGCTATAATAAAACGGAATATAACAAGTAATATAACGTGTACGTTACATGTAACATCCATGTTAGTTGTAATTTCCCATTCATAGATGTAACATTTTAATATAACATATATTACATTGTAGTTATATTGTAATTATATATCAAATAGCACATTGATGTATTGATAAGTCAGTGCTATCTTAGGATATAATGACAATATAACTACAATGTAATATATGTAATATTAAAAATGTTACATCTATGAGTGGGGAAATTACAACTAACATATACGTTACATGTAACATGCTTAAGTATATAACATTTATATACTGTATTTGCTGGGGATCCCAGCAAACACCGATATATAATTGTTACATTGCTATAATAAAACGGAATATAACATGTACGTTACATGTAACATCCATGTTAGTTGTAATTTCCCACTCATAGATGTAACATTTTAATATAACATATATTACATTGTAATTATATTGTAATTATATACCAAATAGCACATTGATGCATTGATAAGTCAGTGCCATCTTGGGATATAATGACAATATAACTACAATGTAATATATGTAATATTAAAAATGTTACATCTATTAGTGGGAAATTACAACTAACATATATGTTACATGTAACATGCTCAAGTATATAACATTTATATACTGTGTTTGCTGGGCGATATCTGTCGCAGCGAGAAACTCTCGCGCGTCCTTTCTGAATTTTCGTTGTTTGACTTTTCGCAGCTAGCGGGTCAAAGTTAGAGCTGCGCGTCTCGTGTTCGGCTTACCTGATCTGCTCCGTATATCGCAGGGCTCTTATATCGCAGGACGCTCTATCTCGGAGATGCCGCTTTACCGTGGCGGTCCTCTTCTGGTAGTTTCTCCTTCTAGTAATCGTGCGACACATAGTGCTACCGTGCACCGGGAACAACGTATTGTTACGTTCGTCAGCTGCTGCTCCGCTCCGAACCGACACGCTCACCAGGGAAGAAAGAGGGGCGCGAAGCCGGCTCCAACGTGGAGAAGGGTACGCTGGGGCAACTGTCGATGAGAGAGACAAAATCAGGGAAAAGGAGTGAAGAGAGAGAGAGAGAAGGGAAAGGAACAGTTAGCGACGCTCGTATACGAATATGCTCTGGACCCCTGATGGATTATTTATTCGAATGACGCGGGTGAGATCATTAACTGTTGCAACGTAAATTCTATCTATTTTTCTCTCCTTTTAAAGAGGAAAATTACGGAAAAATAATAACGGAAGAGGGAGAATGAAATGAGAGGAGAAGACGGATGAGAAAAGATTTGTATGAAGCTGGATCATTATTTTTGTGAATTAAATCACTTTGCTTAGCAAGTGTAAGATAATTAATTATTTAAAAAGGTAATTAATTATTATTAAATGAGCCATAATAAAAGAAAAAGATGGGAAAGTGATGAGAAGAAAATAAATGGAAAAGATCGAATGAAATAAAGGCAGAGGGAAAAGAGGCGAAAGAAAAACAAGGAAGATAAGAAAAATACTCTTTTAATGAAACTGAATCATCGCTTACTAAACGAGATTATTTTGCATAATGACTTATGGTAATTATTATATTGTTTACTCTTTTCTATTAAATGTTTGAGAGAAGAGCGGAGAAGACAAACAAAGGGAAGCAAAAGGAAAAGAGAAAACGACGGAAGGGAAAAAAGAATTTTGTTAATCAATATTCGGTTTTTAATTTATGTAGGCTTACTAAAGTTAGTCGGATGATAAGAGAACCGTTCCACGCTTAGAACTTTCATCAATAGAAAGTATGTGTTTACGCATACGCGTTTTACTCGTGCGTGCATGATCTCTATTCAGGATCTTGACACGCGCATTTTCTTATCGGTCGCTTAATTAATGCAATTTCAATTTTGCACAATATAAATATAAATGTCGCGAAAGTCAAATACCGGACTACGCGAATTTATATATATAGTATATAGATATCTCATTTTTAGGATTCTTGCTGGTGAATTATTAATATATAGATTCTTGTTAATTCTTATAATTTAACACACCTAAAAACATTCTTCATCTAATCTTTTCAATATTTAAAATATGAATTTTTTTCACAAAACACGCATACACAATTATACAAGTTTAAATCAAGATAAAAAAATTAAATTAAAAAATTTAAATAAAAAAATTAAATAAGTGAAATGGTAAAATATAAAATAATGAGCTTTCTAAATTCTTTTCAAATTTAAGTAGAATAATAAGTTCGTCAATTTTATAGAGTGATACTTAAAAAATAAAATTTCTCTTTTTCGCGTCTCTGTAATAGATTTGTCATCATAAGTGATATATATTGTATATAAGTAGAATATTCTGCAACAATATAATATGATAAATTTCATTTGTCCTTACCTAGCCTAGAAACACATTCTTCTGACAACGCGTCGAGTCTCATCACATCTCAAATCATCTCGCGATTAATTACAACAAAGATGCTTAAGAACGTCCCTGACAGCTTAATGTACTTTCCGGATTTAATTTTAAAATTCCGTTCAATCACATCGCCCACTTCTTTTTCTTCAGCAACTCGTAAGTACTGCGAAAATCTTTGTAATGAAAGAACCACTCTGAACTTGCTGCCGTTCAAATTTCGATTATTCAAAGAATCGACTTTTAATCTGTCGATAGAGACAGATAGGCAACTCGGATCGATTTTCAGTAACGTAGATAAGTTAGATTTCCTGTTTATCTGTTATCGATAGAGACATTTGACCTCGTAGTTACCAGAGGGAAGAGATGGCACCAGCTGTCCGATTCGTGTGGCGTTACTGCAGCATTAACTATAGCATTTTTACATCTACACTTACACCACATATACACTTACACCTTATACGTTTTTACACCTTCGTTACTATGTTACAGACCATTTGTTTATTTTTTATTAAACAAATACATCTTTTATTGCCTTCACTTTTATTGTAATTTCTCATTGATAACACGTATTAATAAAGCTCTTAAAAAGTTATCGTTTGTGGACAAATATTACTACATTCGCAAAAATTTGGCGAATCTAGACTCGCGTAATCTCAGGTCGCGAGCAGCCGCATCGATCCATCTGTTTACGGAGGTCGTCTGCTACGTCTGCAAGCTCGTCGTTTGACGTGCCGCTTTGACGTTTGACGAATTATTATGCTGTGAGACAAGCGCGCTTTTATGTGACTGTTGCGGGTAAACGGATCCGCGATGCCAGAAACCGAAGTTAGTATTACTCTGCGAAATTAATATTGTTGAATCAATGATGAATTCTCCCTGACAGTTTCCAACGTCAAATTCGATCGCGAGTCCGCGACCTTCCATAGCGTCTAATATTTATTTAATATTCATTAATTTACTATTCCATATATTTATTACTTACTAAGAAATGCCTATCAATAATACTTTTACATTTGCACTATTAGTAAAATATACATTTTTATTTACACTAATATTACTTACATTAATGTACAGTGGATTTTATTATATATCTTTTGTTATTGGAATCTGCTGGAGACCAGTTGCACAGTTAATTGTTGCGTCAGGAGTTGCATATTTCTAGATTTAAGTAACTTAAGAAAGATCCATTCTTATGACTTATGATGTTTACACAGGACAGCACGACAGAATTAGGAGAAATAGAAAATGTCAGAGTGGTGGTTCGAGTTCGACCGTTAAGCAGCAAGGAGCTTGATACCCATGCAAAAAATATAATAGACGTGGATGCTCTGAATGGCGAGATTACCATAGAGAATACAAATGCAGCACAAGGAGAACCTCCAAAAGTTTTTTCCTTTGATGCTGTATTCGACACAGATTCAACCCAGGTGGACATCTACAACGAGACTGCGAGACCTATAGTTGACAAGGTACTACAGGGCTACAATGGAACAATTTTTGCTTACGGTCAGACTGGCACTGGCAAGACTTACACCATGTCTGGTGCTAAGACCTCACCTCAGGCCAGAGGAATCATTCCGAATACGTTTGCACACATCTTTGGACACATAGCTAAAGCTGATGAAAATCAGAAGTAAGATATAATGCTTGTTGTCAGAAACGAAATATGATATGTAATAATATAAAAGTGAAACTTACTATTTAATAAAATAATAATATTTGTTCAATTCTATGAAACAAATATTCTGAGACAATTTATATAATTAAAATATGTAAATTAAGTTATTTTCTCTCTGATTGAATTTATGTATTGGTTGAATTTTTAATGATTAAGTGATTAATGTTAATAGATTCCTTGTACGTGCAACATACTTAGAGATTTACAATGAAGAAGTCCGAGATCTGCTTGGAAAGGATCAAAATACTCGATTGGAAGTGAAGGAAAGGCCGGACATCGGAGTATTTGTAAAAGATTTGAGCGGATACGTGGTGAACAATGCCGATGATTTGGATCGTATAATGTCGCTCGGCAATAAAAATCGTGAGTAACGATAATGCAACAGAAGGAATATTTCGTTACATTTTATTGCAAAATTCACTTTTTGCATTTATTATATTTAAAACACTTAAAGCATCATAAGTTTTTAACATAGTTTTTAATATATTTTAAAATTATGGAAATTTTACTATATATTTTAGGAGAATTAATTAAACATATTTTATATCTTATTGTGGTAGATATTAATATTTTTTATTATAGTAAATATTAATCAGAGGAACTTTTATAAAATCCAATCCCATATTGTCCCACAATTGTCATAATTTTCAGGATAAATTCTAAGAAAATTATCTCTGTGTATATCAATGATATATATATGTTAAAAATAATTCCTTTAACTCTCTCTTTTACAAATAGGTGTTGTCGGAGCTACTGCCATGAATGTATCTAGCTCCAGATCCCACGCGATATTTACAATTACAGTCGAATCTAGTCAGATTGGTGAAGATGGAGAGCAGCATGTAAAAATGGGGAAACTTCATTTGGTAGATTTAGCTGTATGTATATATAATTTAGCAAAATATTAAAATATTTTTTAATTAATATAATATTTTATTTTAAAAACACTCATGTTTGTATCTTTTCATTATTGATTTTTAGGGATCAGAAAGACAAAGCAAGACAAAGGCGACAGGCCAGCGACTTCGCGAAGCTACTAAAATTAACTTGTCACTATCCACATTGGGGAACGTAATATCCGCACTGGTTGACGGACAGAGTTCTCACGTGCCTTACAGAAATTCCAAGCTAACCAGGTTGCTTCAGGATTCATTGGGTGGAAATTCGAAAACATTAATGGTAAGTATAATACAATATTAATTATTTTATACGTTATTTTAATTAATTTAAAATTTATTATTTTAGCTATTACTATGCAAATATACTTTTCAAGCAATTGATATTACATAATAATTACAGTGTGCAAACATCAGTCCAGCAGATATAAACTACGATGAAACTATAAGCACTTTACGTTACGCGAATCGCGCGAAGAATATCAAGAATCGCGCGAGGATCAACGAGGATCCGAAGGACGCTTTGCTTCGTCAGTTCCAAGTCGAGATCGAACAGTTGCGTAAGCAATTGGAAGAAAACGGTACAGAGCTTTCAGAATCCGAGGAAGAATCCGAGAATTCGGAAGAATCGAAAGAAACGAAACGAGATAAGAAGGCTCGACGGAGTCAAATATTATCGATGGAAGATTTGAAAGACGGAGACACAGATTCGACGGAGAAAATTGATAAAGCCGAGAGAGATGATAAAAGTCCAGTGGACAAAGATGTTATCGAGCTCAAAAAGACACAGTAAGTTTTTGTTAAAATATAAATACTTAAATAAGAAGAAAGAAATAATATCACAGACATCAAAATTCATAATATAAAGTAACAAATATAATTCAAGGATACAAATGCTGAAAACGATTAAATGACTTAATTTCAGGAGCGAGAAGGAAGCGTTGCGACAGAAGATGCAAAATTTGCAGAACAAGATACTAGTGGGCGGTGAAAATTTGTTGGAGAAGGCAGAAGCTCAGGAGCAATTGTTAGCGGCTGCGGCGATTGAACTCGACCAACGAAAGAGTAGAGAAGAACAACTAAAGAAAGCCATTAAGGCAAAAGAAGCGGAACGTATCGACATCGAGGAGAAGTATTCGTCTCTGCAAGAGGAAGCGGCAGGGAAAACAAAAAAATTAGCGCGTGTGTATACAATGTTGATGTCTGTCAAGGCGGAACTATCCGATCTCCAACAGGAACACCAAAGAGAAATGGAAGGTCTATTAGAAGGTGTACGGGGAATCGGTAGAGAGCTCCAATTACAGAATCTTATCGTGAATCATTACATTCCTGTTCAATATCAGGTATGTAGATAGTTAAAAATTTTTTAAATTCTTTAAAATAATGTAAAAATAATTAAGATAAAAAATAAAAATTAAGATAAGAATATAACAAATCAAATATGACTAAAATAGCCAAATGGTAAACGAAAAATCTAAAAAATATCCATTATATTAATCGAATATTTTCCTTAATTAAAAAACATTCCGTGTTACAAATTACAGACGATGATCAAGAGATACGTTCACTGGAATGAGGATATCGGAGAATGGCAGTTAAAATGTGTGGCATACACAGGAAACAACATGCGCAAAGCGCAAACCGTATCGTCAGCAGGAAATAATAAAGACGTAAAAAATTATTTTATATTATTTTAATTCTAAGAAAGTAAACTTTTCTCGATATCATTGATCAACATTTCTTCTCCAAAAGTTCGGTAGTTTAAACAACGTTACATAAAAATATCTTTGTTTACAGACAACACCGCCGGATATGTCGAACATATATCTCTCTTACAACACCGGAATAGACAATACGTTCGTGCAACCCAAGAAAGTGCGGACTCGATCTGGCGTCCCCCGACCAACTACAGCGCATCGACGTACACCGCATTGAAGAACTCGTGGAGACTCACAGAGGTTTATTTTTGCTCACACTCTTTCTCTTTTTGTAGATCAATTTTTTAGAGACTTATGTATTTACGTTCGTTTGCGTAATCACATAATATATTTCGATATTCGTATCAGTAATTAGGGATAATATCCGTTTTAACATTTTCATCGCGATGTCTTTTTTAGAATTTTGAGATTTTTTAATATGAGAAAGATGCACGATTATTTATCACGAATACATTAATTGAGAATATATTTAACAGAACGGTAAAAAGATCAGCAGTAATCTTAACGCATTCCTTTCGATTTTTTAATATTTTAACATAAAAGGCACAAGTGTTTTATCTAAAAGTATTCAAATATTTTTTTATTTGTATTAGAATATAATATAGCAAGTACCCAAAGCACACATATGAATCGTGTGTTTAAATTATTAGAAATACATTTTATTTATTGATAAAATATGCAAGAGAGATCATGATTGTGAAAATCGATACAAGTCCGTTAGAAAAATGAAAACGAACTGTACCTGTGGAAATGACGAGGATTTGAGAGAATTTGCTAAAAACAACGTATATGAAATCACAATATATTTACATGATATTTATGGATTTTGTTTAAAAAATCCGACATTCTTAAGAAAAAAAAATTTATCTATACTTAGAAATTCGTATATCTCTTCGGTAGCTTTGTTCGCTTACAGTCTATTACATAATTCCTTCAAATAAACATTGCATCAAAAATTATACAAAGCGATAAAGAGGTAAATTAAGAATAATACAGCGCGCATATTTATAATTAATGTCGAGTATTAGTGTCAAATAATCTCGATAGTGCTACGAGTTTTTATTTGATAAAGTATAGTCATTTTTACGTGATTTAGTAATATTAGACCTGAAACGAGAGATTTTTAGACAGCGCAAATGTCTGAAATGTATCATGAACGCGTCGGAAAGAGATCAGACATTTTTTTCAGATTTTTTTGTCAGATTTTCGCGTTGTTTGAGAACGTCATATATCATCTTGTAATTCTTTTAGAATTCCCGATGAATCATGTGCATTTATTTATTTACTGTGATACCGAAATATACTTTCGCGTATATTTTCGATTAAGTTTTTTTGTCGACGCTTCGTTCAGCGTTGTAAATAATCAGTCCACGGCAGCGTTGACTATTTATTGTTTATGTCACGGCGTACGTGTCCTGTTTTTGTATTTATAATTTCGGAAATAAAGAAACAGAATTTCAAACACAAACCAGCAAAAGTTATTTCCGGTAACTTCGTAACTTTCCTTGTCAAATTCTAAAAGCTTTGTCGATATTCTGCGATCCACTTACTAATGGAAAGCCGATGAAATTTTCGCGTCACTAAAACACTGTATGAATCGTTGCTGTTGCTTTCACGTAAATCTAGATGATGTGCAGCATCTGGTATTAAAATCGCGACCGCTGTCGAGGACAAGTTGCGCAACACGCCTCCGCTCGCCCATGGATCTAGCAATCCATTACTAAAAGAAAATTATATATATGTATATCATAAATTGCATATTATATATACATATAATATATTAATGTAATTATAAATTTTATTATATATATAAAATTATATAGGAAAGAACAATTAAAAGTAAAATGAAGAAATCGAAATGGAGAAGTATTGAAAATTTGCATAAATAAAATAAAGTTAGAAAGATGAAACGATGATAATACATTATAGGAACACAACGCAGAAAATCAAGATTGGAAATAAGATTATATATGTCATTGAAGACACACGATCAAAAGAATTCAAATATTTTTTTGTCTGTAAATACTCTTATAAATACTATTTTTTATATACCTGAAATTGATGTTAGTCACAGTGTTAAGATTTTTACAGCCATATTGCTGGCAAGCTAAGTACGGCTGCGACGATACTGAATATTTCTGAAAACAGGTGTTATTGTATTCCTTGAAATTCCATTCTGCCGGCTCGAACATGTCGTTGATACCATCGGTGCATATCGGCATCACCATCTCTGTACATGCCTGATAATCCCATCCTTGATCATCTAAGCCCGGCTCCGCGTTCTTCATAGAGAAACAACTCGCTTGACCGGTATAATTTGTGTAAACGCTAATAGCGCGATAAAGCGTCGACAACAATGGTTTTCCCGTTAACGAAGAGTTCGTCAAGTGTTGGCAGAAAACCTAAACGACGGAAAAACTTTAGGTCAGGACAATTTTTTTTCTAGAGGCGACTTCACATTTAGTAGACTAATTTATATTGGAAGAAAGCTTAAAATTTTCGCTCACGTTAACCGGATTGCCCGGCAGCGGCGTCAAAAAGTTAGTCTCGTACGGATAATTAACCATAGCCAGATTTATATAGATATTCTGGAGGAAATACTTCAGCGTCTGGACGTCCTCTGCGGTCTTCAGCGGCTCGCACAGCTTCCAATTGCTCGACAGCCACTTTTTGCCCTCGTCTAAGACGCGACAAGAAATTAAAAAGTAACGAACGATGGAATTTGATTATAAACAAATGAATTATTTCGTTACCGTTTGAAGTCACCTCGGTTATCGTGCTCCACGCTTTCCGGATAAGTTTCGGACACGTTGGATGCGAAGAACGAAAGTCCGACGTTGTTATTCGAGAGAAAGCCTCGCACGTCACGATATCGGTAAATTGCAAAATTGGCGCAGAAGCTGCAATCGCTCTGTAACACATTATATATAATATTATTGTTTACAAATTCAATACGATAAGACATTTTTGAAATAAATTTGTACTATTACATACTATTTTATCTTAGATTTATACATGTAAAAAACTGTATTATATTTATATATAAATATTAATATCTAAACTATGTAAATTTTTGGAGATTAATGACAATTTTCTGTTATACTCTAATCTCTTTTTAGTGTAGATTTTATACTCTAATCTCTTTTTAGTGTAGATTTTATATTCTAATCTCTTTTTAGTGTAGATTTCCTTCTTGTTTAGGTATATTATCGTAATTTTTTTAGATATATTATCGCGTGACCTTTTTCGCTGATTATCTCTAGCACTAAATATATTACAACATTATTACATTTACATGCGTGATATATGTATCTTTCTTCTATACATATATACATATATATTTTTAGCTGTACACATAAGCAAGATACGTCATTATCGCTACCTCATGATAAAACGTACCCTTGAACAATGTGAGGGTACTTCATGCGCATCCAAGCGCTAAGCATACCGCCGTACGAGCCACCGAAAACTATGACCGGACTATGTTTGTATTTTTCCTTCGATCTCAGATATCCAATAAGTTCCACATAATCGGCCAAGGCTTGCTGAGACGTCAGATATCCGAGATGCCGAGGATCCGCAAAGGACTGATTTCCATAGGTCATAAAATTCAAATAATTACAGTTACCAAAAAAATTTACACACAAATTACATAAAATCGGATAATAGCGTCAAAAAAATGCACTTGTGTAAATATAAAATATCGTATTTTGTAAAATAATAACTAGATACATCAAGAACACGTATTTTATGCGACCAGTTAAGGCGTAGCCGAGTAACCGTGTATCTTAACGCGAGTCGGACATTTGAGTCTTTATAATATTTCGAATTCTCAATAACGGCTGAAGCAATCGAGTTTATACTAGACTATAATCGATAGATTGAGTTTGAATTATATAATAAAAGTGTCTTTATTTCTGCTCTACGTGATTTGTAAGCAAGATATATAATTGCAAAGTCGAAATATGAAAAATTTCTTTTAAGAAACGTCCCCGTCATCATCATTATTATCATCATCGACCACGCAAACATAGTAGTATCGTGCTACACGTATTCACACGTATACAAACATGCGCACACATATATCACACGTACACAACACATGAATAGATGCATGTATTGGAAATGTCCATCTCGCACGTTTTACAACAGACGGCGATAGTTGCCCTCCGCTATATTGACAGCGTGCGGGGTTAGATATTTTCAATTTTCAATTTCAATTTTTACATTCAATTTTAATGTTATTATTTGCAAATTTATGTCATAATAATTTATGTGCAAGTTTACAGTCTGTGATACAAAATCAGATATTTTGCTATTATTTCAATAATATTTCAATTATATAAATGCCTATGTATGAGTATGCATATATTTTTAATAATTTTCTTAATTAGCTTCTATATTTTTTTCAGTTGTACATCAAGCAGGTAGCATTATCAGCTCACTTGTGAGCATGGGTTGGGCAATGGCTAGTTATCATCGCAGCATTCGATTAGCTTAACAAGATAAATCTAATATCAGTGCTATAGGAACTATTTTACAATTTTTCTGGCATTTTCTTATTGCAGGTACATATATATCCAATAATTAATATACAAAATTAAATATTATTCATCACACACTTTGTATCAAAATAATATATTTTTTAAAAATTTATTTAATCATTTTTATCATTGTGATTGTAGTGGCAAGGATCTTATTGCTCAGTGTCATTGCAAGCATCTGGCCTGTATATACCATAATATATTGCGTAATACATTGGCTAAGTATGACAATATAGATTTTGATAGATTCCCATGGAATATTGGAATTTTGTCGGACTTACAGTCATCCACCACATATGCAGCCTACAATTAAAGAACGCATTTATTCCATATGATTTGCTTCCGTTATTGGAATATTTAAAATAAAAATTTTATTAATAAATTTCGATGAAATAATTTATAAGAGGTTGAAGAAACTATGAAACAAATTCAGTCTCATAAAAGGGTAGTTGGAACAATAGTGGTGAATGCAGAAGGTATTACATGAGATCATTGACATGATTTACTTGTAGTTGTAAACAAAAATTTATAAAATTATATCTGTTTTAGGTATTCCTATAAAGTCAACATTAGATAATACGACAACAGTTCAATACGCAGGTTTGATAAGTCAATTGTCAGATAAAGCTCGTTCTGTCGTACGTGACTTGAATCCAACAAATGATTTAACTTTCTTGCGCATACGTAGCAAAAAACATAAAATTATGATGGCACCAGATAAAGAATTCATATTAATAGTAGTACAAAATCCAGTTGATTGATATTTAAAAGAAACAAAAATATATTTCAAAGTTAAGATTTATTTCTTTGGTTGTTAATTTAATCTGTATGCTACATTGTGGATGTTAATATCTATTCAATTAAATAAAGAAAAATAAAAGAATAAAGCTTAAAAATTATACAAAATGCAGTATTTAATTACTAATTTAACAAATTATGAACTTTTAGAGTTTTTAAATAGTGCTTTCTTCTTTGGTAACAATATTATATTTTTAAGTTTGATAATTATGAAAATATGTATATATAGTAATTCATGGCATGTTTATTTTTGTATTTAATACAATTATAAATGTACATTTCTCATCAATAAAATATCACAGTATCTTTTTTATAATTTAATTTTAATATTGAGATTGTTTTTATTCAGTGGAAAAAAAAATGTGTAGTTGGTCCCTATTAATTATACATACATATAAGAGTGTCGCACAAATAATTCTATGCAGTCTTTTTAAGATAATATAAAAATACTTATAAATATAATCAATTAAAATACATATAATCAAAATTGTATGTATTAAAATTCAATAGCATATAAAAAAGATTTTTTTAAATTATATATATATAATAAAAATCCAACATTTTATATATATATATATATATATATATATATATATATATAAATATATATATTTATTTATTGTATATCATAAATATATATTTATTTATTTATATTTACCTATCTTTTTTTTATATATATGGTAGAAATACAATGTATGAGTTATTTTATTTTGCAAAATTTTTGAAAGTTAAACTATTAATTACAATGAAATTATTTCATATAATACCGAGATTCTTTTCATAATAAAGATTAAGAGAGAGTTAGATTTTATCATAAGATTTATAAAAGTCATAAGATAAGGTTAATTGCATATTGTATAATTTATCTCTCATTTTTTAAAGTAAATAAATATCAAAGTTACATTGCTTGAACTGGTGCGTTTGAAGTATGTTGTCTTTTTGAGGGATGCAAGACAATATAGTACAAAAGCATTGCTGTAATTCCCAAGAAAAAGGAAATGATACAAATAATAAAGATTATATTAAAGTACTAAGCCTCTTTAACTGCAGGAGGACAAGCATATTGCCATAATAAATTTGCTGCAATATTTTCAAAAAAGCAGATAACATAGAAAGATAGATGTTTTCAAAATGTTTTGCTATCTACAGCATTGAGATATATAAAAATGTGCACTATGCCAATAACGGAAGCAAATAATATGGAATAAATGCGTTCTTTAATTGTAGGCTGCATATGTGGTGGATGACTGCAAGTCCGACAAAATTCCAATATTCCATGGGAATCTATCAAAATCCATATTGTCATACTTAGCCAATGTATTACACAATATATTATGGTATATACAGGCCAGATGCTTGCAATGACACTGAGCAATAAAATCCTTGCCACTACAATCACAATGATAAAAATGATTAAATAAATTTAAAATAAATTTTTAAAAATATATTATTTTGATACAAATTGTGTGATGAATAATATTTAATTTTGTATATTAATTATTGGATATATATGTACCTAAAATAAGAAAATGCCAGAAAAATTGAATTTGCTTATTTATTTAAAGATGCTTATCATATACAAAAATGAATGATATAATCTCTAAAAACTCACCTTTAAAAAAAGGTAAAAAAAGGCGACCAGTTAAGGGCACGCCATTAACAAAAATTATCCATTGCAAACCCATGTACAATAGAATTGTATGAAAAATTATCGATTATAAACCCATGTACAATCGTAACAAAAGTAATGAAATAAAAAAAAATTGCGCCAAGTGAAAGTAGAAACTTGTACCAGTGGAAAATTAAAGTTGCAGACATATATAGAGTCGTATAATGAATCAATAAAAATTTAAATTTGCAAATGTAGAATTGTACCATAAAAAAACTTATCTTTAAAAAAAAAGATAAACAAGATGCCAAGTCCATGCGCCATGTGAAAAAGTGTTAAACAAAAAAGTATTTTTAAGTAAAAAAATCTATCAATTGACAAAAATTTATGTTCTAAAATTAATATCTCTACAAAAAGTAATGTCCAATTATTGCGCGAATAAATAAACATTTTTATAAAAAATTAAAATTTAAAAACTTATGCAAATTTAAAATTAATATAAAATAAAAAGAAATAAAAAAATTTTAGTTAAAAAAACTGGGCGCGCTGCAATGAGTTTAAAAGTAACAATTTAATTTTAATATCATTAGAATATTATTTAGCAGCGCGCCCAGTTTTTTTAACTAAAATTTTTTTATTTCTTTTTATTTTATATTAATTTTAAATTTGCATAAGTTTTTAAATTTTAATTTTTTATAAAAATGTTTATTTATTCGCGCAATAATTGGACATTACTTTTTGTAGAGATATTAATTTTAGAACATAAATTTTTGTCAATTGATAGATTTTTTTACTTAAAAATACTTTTTTGTTTAACACTTTTTCACATGGCGCATGGACTTGGCATCTTGTTTATCTTTTTTTTTAAAGATAAGTTTTTTTAGCGGCCCATTTTTTTAACTAAAATTTTTTATTTCTTTTTATTTTATATTAATTTAAATTTGTATAAATTTAAAAAAATACTTTTTTGTTTAACACTTTTTCACATGGCGCATGGACTTGGCATCTTGTTTATCTTTTTTTTAAAAGATAATTTTTTTATGGTACAATTCTACATTTGCAAATTTAAATTTTTATTGATTCATTATACGACTCTATATATGTCTGCAACTTTAATTTTCCACTGGTACAAGTTTCTACTTTCACTTGGCGCAATTTTTTTTTTATTTCATTACTTTTGTTACGATTGTACATGGGTTTATAATCGATAATTTTTCATACAATTCTATTGTACATGGGTTTGCAATGGATAATTTTTGTTAATGGCGTGCCCTTAACTGGTCGCCTTTTTTTACCTTTTTTTAAAGGTGAGTTTTTAGAGATTATAAAACTTACGCGCACGTCGAATGTTTTGATTTCGTATATGTATCTGGTGTTTTGCGGCGGCGCGTTGGAACTGATTCTCGACGAATGCCGATTACTCTCGATGAATTTGCTCGGAAATGCCAACTGCATCGTCGGCTGGCACAGCGCGACCACAAGCAGCAATAGCATCCTCATCAATGGGTCCATGATGATAGGTCCGGCTTCGACGAGCTTCGCACACTCACTGAAGAAACGCATGACCTGAGGTGTTTTATAAAAACGCCGGTGCTCCAACAAACATTCCGCTCCGCTGTCACCCCGTCCCCGCGACGTCTTATATACAGGGTGTCGTGAAACGAACGGATGAACGTTGAACCTCACATCGCTTACATTACGCTTATACATTTTTACTTTGATATAAATTTCAAGAGATTATTTCTTTTCTCCTAATTCTTTTTAATTAGATTAAATCTATTTTATATAATATTTATTATTTTTTATATCATTTATTCAATTATATATTTTCTATATATAATATATAAATATTTTATATATATAAAAAAATGTTGTTATAAATATATATATAATAATTTCATATATAATATATATTTTATATATAATCATTATTTTATATTATTTAAATAAAAATAAAATAGTTATATAATATAATATATATCTATATATATATATATATATATATATATATATATATATATATATATAATATGCATGGGAAGCAAGGAGGGAAAGATAAGTTACGTAAAGTATTATATAGATGTTTAAAAAAATATTGTGAATTGGACATTTGTGATATATGTAGTTTGTTTTAGTCACAGTTCTCTTTCCCTCACAATTTAATTTTTTATACACTTTTATCACATAACATTTTTCAATATCGCAGACGTTCATTAGCCGATTACAATTGTTAGTTTATATCTTCTTATCTATTTCAAGATATAATTATCATTTTTAGAACAATAAGTGTGTGTGCGCATCATTGTCCGATTTTTTATTATTTTGATCTTTGGATTTGATTGTTTTACTGCGCGTCCTAAATTTAATTATATTAATCGAAAAATATCGAACAATAAAGAATGACGATATATTTAATTATAAGTTTGGCAGATATAATTTTTTACTATGATATACAGATATGTGCATATATAAACGAAAAACTTTTTATACAAAATTTTAAATAAATTAATTTTAATTATTCGTTAAACAAATAATGAATCAGAAATGAGCTTATTTTTATTTTTATTACTTGATTCTGCTTTCTAGAATTCGATCTTTACTGCATGTTCTCAAATCCAAATTATAGTATTTAAATCATCCAAACATCAAACAAAATGTATATTTCTGACTAATAATATAAAGAAATAATTATTCCATACGAAATAATATATAATTTAGATTCATATATATATATAACTTTTTTACTTGATTTAATAAATATATTATATGAAAAATGCTTAATAAGAGATCCATTGCGATATGCATATGTATAATTACATTGTATTCATTAATAACTCATTAATTATTTTATTTATCATATGAAATAATTTTCCAATATCGATCGTGGATCTTACGTAGAAAAGAAAATTCGACAGTAAATCACTAACGCAGATTAAAGCTGGATTAATATGTCTTAAAATGTTTTTAGAGAGGGATTATATTGCGGAGTTATAAAATAAAATAAAATATAATACATTTTTTGACAGCGACATAAATTTATTACAAAAAATAAATTAATTCACTCTACATATACAAAAATACAATAACTAATTAATATTAATAATACTTTTCTATATCCAGTGATGTCACTGGTAAATTAATATTATCTATTTAAACGTACGCGATGCGTATCTTCTTTTAATCTTACCAAGATCTTCACATAGAGATATACAGTTTTATTTAATTTACATTATACTCTTATAAGCCGATACGATATATAATTGGCCGTTTTCTTAGATTGCACACAATTTTATAATAAAATAAGCAGATTATAAAAATTGAGAATCCGTCGATTGAATTATATGGCGTCTTATTCGTTAGACATTCCGTCAAATTTTCAATGAAAAGAAGAAAGACGAATGCTTTCGACACCTCGTCCAAGAACTATCGTTATACAATTACATATACATTTTAAGTCGCTTAAGACTAAGGATAATAATGTAGATCTTTGTTATTCAGTTCTGCTGCTTAACGCAAAAAATCTTTAATACAATTCGGAGTGTTTAGTTTACAAAAATTTTTATATGTTGATTTTTATATGCAAATTCCTACATTGTAAAAGTCATACTTTGTACAATCTTAGTAGAGATTATTTGATTATCCCTTCTAACGTTCATATAAAATGTAAACGAATTTCTAATATTCAAAAATTAACTTTAATAGAAATAGATAAGAAAGAAATATATCGGAATAGCATTTGAATTCGTTACGGAATTAAAATTTAACATTTTTCTTAAAGTCTATATATATATATATTTTGATTTTCCCTCTTTATCACTTACTTTCATAAGAGAAAAAAAGAGAGAAAGATCCAATAGAGATCCAGTCTTGCATATTATGTCATAATAATGCTCGGTAGAAACACTGACGTAAAGCTTTTCTATTTGTTTGTGAGCTTATTACATCGTATTTCGTCTTAAATTATAGTCGAGTTATTAAAGAATTAAATTATATATAGTCGAGTTATTAAAAAATTATGATATAATATATATTAGTTAATAACGGTAAAAACGGTTCTTCTTCCTATTCTTACATTTGTCGTATCGACTAATAATATGTATAAACGTTACTATCCAGTTAAAGCACTCGGACGATTAACCGGGCAATTGTACTTGAGATGTTTATAACTACAATTAAACGCGATAATAATTCTATCGGATGATATATCAATTTTTACTTATATGTATATATATGTTGGTCCCCCTAACGTAAAATCTTCGCTAATAAGATGTTGTACAATAATGTTTTACATTACAAAGATATCTAGCCTCTGTAACTACATATTATCTTAACTGGAAAAAAGTTATATTGCATATACTTAAAAAATACTTAATACGTACGTTATTTATCTTTGTACTGCAGTCGCATTTGTTCTATAGTCTGAGTATACTCGTACTCGAGTTCTTGAACTTTTGCGGCGTACTGCTTATTGTGCGCCACTAAGTTCTGTTCTGTTTCATTTATGGCCTTTTTGTATCCCTCCTCGATACGTTTGCATTCATCCGACAAAAATTCTTTCATCTTCTTTGAATAACTCTAGAATTTGAATATATAATTTATATTATATATATGGTATACATACATACATACATACATACATACATATATATATATATATAATTAAATATGAAATATTATATTTAATATTATGTAACATATAATTATATATATATATATATATATATATATATATATTTATAATACATATAATAATATAAATATATTTTAATAAATTTAACATACATATAATATTAAATATATAATATCTGCGTGTGTGTTGTATGTGTGTAATCGTCTTTTTTATAAAATAAAAATAACCCAGCAGATGTTCTACTCACCTTATAATTGTGTGCAGTCTCTTTTGCTCTTTGATATTTGTGTTTTAACACAATGATGTCGCTCTTTATACGTTTCTCTTTTCTTTCAAAGCTTTAATCTCACTGCTCTGCTCATTTCTCTTCATTCGATTTCAGCCTCTCTATTTCCCCGTCCTTTTCCGTCTCCTTGGCTTTACTTTCTTCGAGTTCAGCGGCCCACTTGGTCATCGTCTGCGTCATCAAGTTTTTATCCTCTTCGACCTCATTCTCCTTTTTCTTCAAATCAGCTTCCCGTTTTTCAATTTGAAGCCTTCGCGCTTGCAATTCTCGATTGCAAGTTTCTAGTTTGCTTTCTATAATTTTACCAATTTGATTGACCTTTACTTTTTCGGCCATTATTTCCTTTGCAACATTATTACTTCTTGATTCTTCTCATCGTATTTCTTTGCCACTCTGAAATAGCAGTTTTATATTTTTCCTCCAGTTCCTTCCTCTTCTCGAGATTCCGTTCCTCAATTCCTCTAAGCTCCTTTGCCACCTTCTGTTCCATTCCTTCTCGTATTTTTTGAAAATCTGTACTATCACTCGTGCTACGAGGAGACAGATTTAATTCCGCGGAGACTTTATTCTGACTTTTAACATATTGTTCGAATTGCTGAGCTTGTTTTTGCAATTTTATTAGCAGCTGATCTCTCTCATCTTTGATTTTTTCAAAATCTTTTAGTAACCTGCTTAATTTCTCATTTTTACTTCGTAACTCCTGTTCAAATTGTTGTATTCTCTGTTCCACCATCGCGGAATCATTGACGCGATCCTCTTTCGAATTATTTAGTTTACTTAATTGCGTAGCCAAATCTTTGTAATAAGAAAGCTCCTTCTCCAATTCATTCTTTGAATTCAGTGTAATATCGCCGCTTCTCCGCAACTTTCCTTCGAAATTGTTAATCTTTTTCCTCGTGTCAAGCAATTCTGTTTCCAGTTCAGAGATTTTTTCCTTATAAGTGTTTCTTTCACCAAATAGACTATCGCATTGACTTTTCAATGTCTCGTTCTCCGCTTGAAACCGAGCAATCTTCAGTTTCACATCGTCCGAGTCTTCGAGTTTTGCAGTACGTTTTAGATTTGACATTTCTAGATCTAATTTGGAGACTTTTGCAAGAAGATCCTTTCTCTCATTGACGATTTTATCATATTTTTTCTTCCACGATTCTTGCGAGATTTCCATTTGTGCTATTTTCAATTTGGCATCGTCCAATTCAGTTTGATAATCAGATAATTTTTTCTGCTCTTCAACTGCAATTTGAAGTTTCTCTTCCAAGCGCTTGCAATCTTCCTCCAGCTGTAATAGAACGATATTTATTTATAAAAGTATAAGAAATAATATTAAGAAAATTTGTAAGAATTTAGTTATACCTGATTGATTTTTTCTAAATGTTCGGAACAATGATCTGGTAAAAGAAGGCTTATTTCTTGATTTGGGTGCGCATTTCTTAGTTCATGTAACGCTTCTTCTTTCGCTTTAAATGATTAAATAAAATTAATAAAATTTTTTCATTAGTACACATCGTATTTCTGTACAAGATTTTTTTGTTTTATAGTATTCAATATTTACCTCTTTCTATTTCAGAATGTATTTTTTTCACATAATCTTCCTTTTTTCTTCTTTCATATGCCAGATCCTTTTCCAACTCGATTATTTTGCTGTTGAAGTCGTCGCATTCCTGGGTCAGTTTATTACACAACTTAATTTGCATCTGCAATTCGTTCTCCAATTTTTCCACATCCTTGCTATGCGATTCAATTATACTATATTTATTCTTTAATGTTTTGATTTCATTTTTATGCTCGTTTATTAATTGCTCCTTTGTTCCACATACATCTATGTACAATTCTTTTACGCGACTTAATTCTTTTTGTGTCTGTTCTAATTGTACACTGAAAAAGTAGAAATTCCATTTATGCATATTCTCATATTTTTGCAATATTTATTACAATAAAGTTTTTATTATATTATTTAAAAATTTTCAGAAACTCAATCAAATTACTACTTACGACAATTGTACTATTTCCATTTGTGCTTCTTTCTTTACTCTCTCTATGGCTTTAGCATGTATTTCCAAGTATTCTTTATTATACTCGTTGATAGCTTCTTTTTCTTGTTGTTCTATAGTCTCTTGATGCATTTTGTTAAGTTTCTCTTGGTTAACAGCTAAAGTCTCTTCTAATTTTTCTTCTATGCTAATCTTTTCATTACGTAACAATTCGTATTGTTTTTTCATATCGTTTAAAAGATCCGATAATTTCTGTATCTTAGCATTCGCTTTCATGGCCTCGTCTGTTAATACAGATTTCAGTTCTTGCTCTAATTCATTAATTCGCTTAGCATAACGTGCCGCTTCCTGTCGACACGTTTCCGCTAATGTTACAGCTTTGTTTAACTCTTTTTCTTTCTGCGATAGAGTATTCTCCAAACGATTTATTTCTTTTCTCTTTACAGCTTGACCAGCCAGACATCTAAACAAAAATAACATGGTAGAAATAAAAGAGTGTTAATTTTAATAATTAAGATTTAAACGAAAACAATATTTATATATATATATATATATATATATATATATATATATAATTTTACCTTGCAGTTCGCCTCTTAATTTATTTGTGATATCATCAACCGGTTTCAATTTCGCTTTATTGTGAAGTTCACCTAATTTCATCTGCCGAATTGAATCAGATTCATCCTCCAAGGTTGTAGTCAATAAAGAATCATATTGCGCTACATCGCTCTTGACCACCTCCAATTTGTTCTACAAATAATTATATAATAAAAATTTTAGTTCTAGATTCATTTTTTGTGTAATTATCTTATAATTTTGTAATATATTTTCTGAATCAAATTAAGGCTCCTGACTCTTCATCGACCGTACTAGAATTGTGACGTCAGAGGCGGGAAAACATGGTAAAAATTCTTAGATGCCATTTCAAAATAAAAAGATATTTCGATGAACCAGCACTTCAGATCTTAAAATATCTCGAAAACTATCCTTCTTCCTTTATGATCAATCAATAGTTGTAATATGAGACCCAGTCACTCCACATGACAAAGTTTGAGATCACGATCATTTTACGGTTGTTGATTGAATGTCGAGAAAAAAGAAAAGTTTTCGAGGAATTTTAAAAGTGTGCTGAAGTCATCTGAAGTAGTGTTTCAACGAAATACCTTTTCATTGAAAAATGACATGTAAGAATTTTCAGCATGTTTTCTGGTCTCCGACGTCACAATCTTGCATGGCCGCCAGGATTCAAGAATCTTAAGAACCTTAAAAACAAATTTGACATGGAATATTTTTAATTACCTGCAAGTCATACACAGTTTTGTGCAACTCTTCCTTTTCCTGAGTCAACATTTTCACTTGCGCCTGTAATTGCATGACTTGCTGAGCGCTATTCGTTGTCATCAGATTGCGACATTGAGCTTGACTCTTCTCCAACGCTTGTGCTAATCGATTCATAGTGTCACCCTTCTCCACCATGAGAGCCTCATGCGCTCTTCGAGCATCATCTAATTTGTGTTCAAGAGTAATATACGATGTCTCCTATAAAAAGGTAAACATAATAAACTAAATAAATTAACATTATTTATAAGCATGCAAAATAATATTTATAAAATAATATCAAGTTTATTGTATTAAGAATATGAAGCATATATATTAATCATTTTTCTGTGCATTTAAATAAATAAATTATACTGAGAAGAAAAGCTACAATAGGCTGTTTTGCAGTTACAAAAATAATCAATAATGACTTGCCCAAATACTATTGTTGCTGGTGTCCATATTGAGCAGCTGTGGCAAATATAATTATAGAGAAAATATATATGCGAAATATGACGAATAATTCAAATAAAGAGAATTCAACAATACCTTGACATTTAATTTGTCCGTAAGAACGTCTATTTGTGTCTGCATATTTTTCATTTCCACTGCATGCTTCTCTTGCGCCTGTTTTAAAAACTTTTCATGTGTCTTGTCATTTGTTTGCAGCACCTGTGTTCTTTCCAATACAGCAATTTTCTGTTGCAGATCTATGACAGAGTCTCTCGCGATATTCAGATCTTCTGTGATCTGTAAAAATAAAATAATTACAAATATCTATAGAAATAATATTGCAATTTGTCAAATGTAATCTTAATCGAAATAAAATGTGAATATGTATATTACATTTTGATTGGTCTTCTCCAAAACTGTATTTTTCTCTTTTAGAGACTCCATTTGCATTTGCAGATCATTTATCTCAGCCTTGGCGTTAACTAAAAAAAATTAATTCAGTTTGATTTTATATTGTTTAACAGGCAAGATAATTAAAATTACTTTAATTATATGTTTGAATATCAGTAATACTAATAAATTAATACTAATATTTTTTCCTGATTCCATATGATTCGATAGCTTTCTTACCAAGTGCATGCTGTGCTTGAGTCCTGGAGATATTAACTCTTTCGATTTCCGCTTGTAGCAGCATCAATTTTCTGGTCATTTGACTCTTTTCATCCTCCTTTTCCAATTGCAATTGTTGCAACTCATTCGTTAAACGATCGATCTCCCTTAATCTGACCTTATACAGTACTTCCAGTTGCTCCTTGCTATTGTACTCTGCCGTTTTGTACGCTGCATCATCGTCTATCGACCTGCCATTTGGACTAGTCTTGTAGCAATGATTCATGTGATCCGACGTAGTGTTGTCGCCGCCGCCAAACTCGGGAATCTGCTTACTTTGTACATTATTTTCATAGACATCGGTAAAGCCATTGTTGGAGTATTTGTTGGGTGCGTGAGTATTGTAATGATTGGATGGTGTTTCGTAGTTGCAGGGATAATTCTCGTTAAATGTACACTCCTCCGATTGCGGATGTATCTTGCGAGAATATCCGGTGATCGGTGGTTTCGTCAATTCATACGGCGTCTCCAGCATGCTGTTACTATTGCTGTTGTCGATGAATCTATTATTGCCGTACGGTGTCTTGGTTTGTTTGTACAAATCAAACTTGGTGTGCGCAGACCCACCGGTTTTGGTGTCAGATATGTGATGATTTGTTATCACATTGTGATCGTAATTATTCAGATTCTCCACGTGATTGTACACATTGAATTCCTTCTGTAGTTGCGCTACCCCTTTGACAGATGCAACTGAAGATTCTGGGTCAGAGTTGATTGCTGTATCAGTGCAATCAATGTCTCTGGTATCTCGATAATGACTACTGTCGACGGAACTGGCATCTTCATCATTCTCTAAATCATTGAATGCTGTTGACATGAGAGCCTGGAGCTGAAAACAAAACAATTATTGAAATATTTGTACATATTTTTTTATAAACGTTTATCATTTCTTATCGCAGGACATACAATGTTACACAATTTTTTTTTTGAAAGAAAAAAAAATGATGTGCAGATGTACACAGGATGTTAAAAATTAAACTGAAAAACTTTGATCGGAAAAGAAAATTTCAAAATAAAAATTTTTTATTAATACAAATATTCTCTACATTTAATTGTTTTGAGTTTATCAGCTTTGAATTAAGGGGATGCCGGAGCGTTGGCCGAACTCCGACGGGTTAGCGCCCTCATTTGAGTGGAACTAAAATTGTCGATAATTATTGATAATTTTAATTCCGCTATTATCGATAATAATCCATATATGTCAAAAAGCTATTTTAGTGTGTTCAACATATTGAAATCAGACAATATAATATATTTTTACTGTCGAATCATCTCGCACACGCATCTAAGCGTCAATGACAGTAAAACATACATATATAAATGTGTCTCTTTATGACATAGTTGAACACAATTTCAATATTGCTCTTTATATATTTTGACGATATATGCATATTTTCATGTATTTTTCAAAGGAAATATACAATCTACCATATATATATATATATACAAGATGGTTCAAAAGTCCGGCAACGGTCAATTATGTCCAAGAAATAGTGGTCTTATGAATAAAATATAAAAATTGCAGGGTTCAACCCGGAAAAATTTTTTATATAATATATAATTATATCTAAATAATTATATAATTATACATAATTATATGTGAAATATGTTCATTTTATATATAATTAAATTTAATTATATATAAATTATGAAGTTCATGTATAATCTCATGTTAAGTTATATATGAAACATTAGATATATTTATATATGTGAATACTTATTTACTATATATACAATATATATATATATATATATTTATATAAGTATATGTATATAAAAAGCTCTTTTATCTAATTATATATAGACATATTTCATATTTAATTTTGCAATTATATGTATAATTTTATATATTTCTATATAATTTTATATTGTTATATATAAAAATTGTTTCTAGGAAAAATAAGATATTTTATGGTGACCTTGACTTTGACGTAGGGGTCAAATTTAAAGGTCATTTCAAGATCAACTTTTATTAAACAAAACCCTCTATTTTTATTAGATATTCTTGTAGCTTATCTCGAGAATTTTCCAAAACACTAATAAAATATTTTTTTATGTACTTATTGAGTTATAAAGGTTTGAAGTGAACAATTCTTTTATAAAATTGACAATATTTTGTAAAACATTCAATTTTCATTATACATTTATACTTTTTATGCACGGAATAATGAGACCAATCAATAGATGCAAAGAAAACACAGTTGCAAAAGACGTATGTAATTTTCAAGAAGCAACTGCCCAGCAAACATTATAATTGCTATATAACACGTAAATAACGTGCATGTAACATGTAACATACACGTTAGTTGTAATTTCCCACTTATGGATTCTATTATTTATTGTAATTATAGATAGGATAGTGACTTAGCAAAAGATTATCTTTCGGCATCCTACAATATCGATGCTATCTGGGATGTAATTACAATATATAAATAACATATGTCATATTACAAATGTTACATCTATGAGTGAGAAATTACCGTATATGTTACATGTAACATGCACGTTATATAGTATTATATACATGTAACATAGCAGTTATATTTTGTGTTTGCTGGGTGCATTTTCTTTACACCAAATTGGTCTCATTATTATGTGCATAAAAATAAAAAGTATGATAACGTAAAACTGAATATTTTACAAAGATATAATTTTATGTCAAACAATTGCTTCGAATCTTTATAATTCAAAAAGTACTTCATAAAAAAATGTTTCATTATAATGCTTTGGAAAGCTGTCGAGATAAGCTACAAGAATATCTAATAAAAAATAAAGGATTTTAAAAAGTTGACCTATAAATGATCTCAAAATTTGACACCTAGGTAAAAGTCAACACCTTTAGTATTTTTTTCATAAGACCACTATTTTCGGAGATAATTGGCCATTGCCAGATTTTTGAATCATCATGTACATATTATATATATTTTATGCATGGATATATGCATCTATATACATGTACATATATGTATCAAGAGACACGGTAGTGTCTCGCGACCAGTTAAGGGCGTAGCCGAGACACCGTGTATCTTAACGCGAGTCGGACATTTGAGTCTTTATAATATTTCGAATTCTCAATAACGGCTGAAGCAATCGAGTTTATACTAGACTTAATCGATAGATTGAGTTTGAATTATATAATAAAAGTGTCTTTATTTCTGCTCTACGTGATTTGTAAGCAGAGATATATAATTGCAAAGTCGAAATATGAAAAATTTCTTTTAAGAAACGTCCCCGTCATCATCATTATTATTATCATCATCGACCACGCAAACATAGTAGTATCGTGCTACACGTATTCACACGTATACAACACATGCGCACACATATATCACACGTACACAACACATGAATAGATGCATGTATTGGAAATGTCCATCTCGCACGTTTTACAACAGACGGCGATAGTTGCCCTCCGCTATATTGACAGCGTGCGGGGTTAGATATTTTCAATTTTCAATTTCAATTTTTACATTCAATTTTAATGTTATTATTTGCAAATTTATTGTCATAATAATTTATGTGCAAGTTTACAGTCTGTGATACAAAATCAGATATTTTGCTATTATTTCAATAATATTTCAATTATATAAATGCCTATGTATGAGTATGCATATATTTTTAATAATTTTCTTAATTAGCTTCTATATTTTTTTCAGTTGTACATCAAGCAGGTAGCATTATCAGCTCACTTGTGAGCATGGGTTGGGCAATGGCTAGTTATCATCGCAGCATTCGATTAGCTTAACAAGATAAATCTAATATCAGTGCTATAGGAACTATTTTACAATTTTTCTGGCATTTTCTTATTGCAGGTACATATATATCCAATAATTAATATACAAAATTAAATATTATTCATCACACACTTTGTATCAAAATAATATATTTTTTAAATTTATTTAATCATTTTTATCATTGTGATTGTAGTGGCAAGGATCTTATTGCTCAGTGTCATTGCAAGCATCTGGCCTGTATATACCATAATATATTGCGTAATACATTGGCTAAGTATGACAATATAGATTTTGATAGATTCCCATGGAATATTGGAATTTTGTCGGACTTACAGTCATCCACCACATATGCAGCCTACAATTAAAGAACGCATTTATTCCATATGATTTGCTTCCGTTATTGGAATATTTAAAATAAAAATTTTATTAATAAATTTCGATGAAATAATTTATAAGAGGTTGAAGAAACTATGAAACAAATTCAGTCTCATAAAAGGGTAGTTGGAACAATAGTGGTGAATGCAGAAGGTATTACATGAGATCATTGACATGATTTACTTGTAGTTGTAAACAAAAATTTATAAAATTATATCTGTTTTAGGTATTCCTATAAAGTCAACATTAGATAATACGACAACAGTTCAATACGCAGGTTTGATAAGTCAATTGTCAGATAAAGCTCGTTCTGTCGTACGTGACTTGAATCCAACAAATGATTTAACTTTCTTGCGCATACGTAGCAAAAAACATAAAATTATGATGGCACCAGATAAAGAATTCATATTAATAGTAGTACAAAATCCAGTTGATTGATATTTAAAAGAAACAAAAATATATTTCAAAGTTAAGATTTATTTCTTTGGTTGTTAATTTAATCTGTATGCTACATTGGATGTTAATATCTATTCAATTAAATAAAGAAAAATAAAAGAATAAAGCTTAAAAATTATACAAAATGCAGTATTTAATTACTAATTTAACAAATTATGAACTTTTAGAGTTTTTAAATAGTGCTTTCTTCTTTGGTAACAATATTATATTTTTAAGTTTGATAATTATGAAAATATGTATATATAGTAATTCATGGCATGTTTATTTTTGTATTTAATACAATTATAAATGTACATTTCTCATCAATAAAATATCACAGTATCTTTTTTATAATTTAATTTTAATATTGAGATTGTTTTTATTCAGTGGAAAAAAAAATGTGTAGTTGGTCCCTATTAATTATACATACATATAAGAGTGTCGCACAAATAATTCTATGCAGTCTTTTTAAGATAATATAAAAATACTTATAAATATAATCAATTAAAATACATATAATCAAAATTGTATGTATTAAAATTCAATAGCATATAAAAAAGATTTTTTAAATTATATATATATAATAAAAATCCAACATTATATATATATATATATATATATATATATATAAATATAAATATATATTTATTTATTGTATATCATAAATATATATTTATTTATTTATATTTACCTATCTTTTTTTTATATATATGGTAGAAATACAATGTATGAGTTATTTTATTTTGCAAAATTTTTGAAAGTTAAACTATTAATTACAATGAAATTATTTCATATAATACCGAGATTCTTTTCATAATAAAGATTAAGAGAGAGTTAGATTTTATCATAAGATTTATAAAAGTCATAAGATAAGGTTAATTGCATATTGTATAGTTTATCTCTCATTTTTTAAAGTAAATAAATATCAAAGTTACATTGCTTGAACTGGTGCGTTTGAAGTATGTTGTCTTTTTGAGGGATGCAAGACAATATAGTACAAAAGCATTGCTGTAATTCCCAAGAAAAAGGAAATGATACAAATAATAAAGATTATATTAAAGTACTAAGCCTCTTTAACTGCAGGAGGACAAGCATATTGCCATAATAAATTTGCTGCAATATTTTCAAAAAAGCAGATAACATAGAAAGATAGATGTTTTCAAAATGTTTTGCTATCTACAGCATTGAGATATATAAAAATGTGCACTATGCCAATAACGGAAGCAAATAATATGGAATAAATGCGTTCTTTAATTGTAGGCTGCATATGTGGTGGATGACTGCAAGTCCGACAAAATTCCAATATTCCATGGGAATCTATCAAAATCCATATTGTCATACTTAGCCAATGTATTACACAATATATTATGGTATATACAGGCCAGATGCTTGCAATGACACTGAGCAATAAAATCCTTGCCACTACAATCACAATGATAAAAATGATTAAATAAATTTAAAATAAATTTTTAAAAATATATTATTTTGATACAAATTGTGTGATGAATAATATTTAATTTTGTATATTAATTATTGGATATATATGTACCTAAAATAAG